CCCCCCCCCCCAGCTGACGTCCTGCGAGCCAGCCACCCTTGCCGCCTGGTGGTGACATCTTAACTCTGATGTCACCACCCAGCCGCCTCCCACCGCTGATGGCTGCACTCTCCTCCCACCCACAAACAGCCGCTCACAGGGTGGCTGTCGGCTCGGTCTCAGACCTGAGAACCCTGGGTTTGTTCACTACCTGGCGATAACCAGGGATTGACTTTGCTTCCTCAGTAGGGTGGGGACAGCGGGAGACAGGGTTGAGGAAGGAGGGAAGTAAAGGCATGGAAGACACAGGCGATGCTTACTCCTGAGAAGGTCCAGGCTGCTGTCCTAGCAGGGGTGGGCTGCTCCAGAACTGTGAACAAAGCTAGGGCCTCAGCACCCGGGAGCCCTAGCCACACCCCAGCCCACCCCAGCCCCTAGCCCAGCACCCCCATACCCTTGAGGAGGTGGGGAAGACAGCCTGGGGCAGCGGGGAGGGCGGGCTGAACTTGTTCTGCAGGACGCTGGCGGAGACAATTTGGGCCGATGACATGGACGCCATGCTCTGGAGAGCTTTGTCCTTGGAGACCTGGTCCTGGAGACAGTGGTCACATCAGGCCTGGGCAAGGCCCTTCAGGTAGGAGTTCTAGCCCCGGCTCTACTGTGTCGATTCAGCAGGGTCCACCGTCTCTGGGTCCCAGCCTTCTGTCTGGGCACAGCCCAGCCTGTGGGCCCTTCCTCTGAGGGAATTGATTCTGGCTCTCCCTCATACTCTGAAATGCTGGGCACCTGAGTCCTTCACACACAAGGCATCTACAAAGACACTGCATGCTCCTCTGCAACATCTCTACAAAACCAAACTCATTTCACAACTGGGGGGCTCCGGGCTGGAGAGATGGCTGTCTGCTCTTCCAGAGGTCCTGAGTACAGTTTCCAGCAACCACATAGTGGCTCACAACCCTTCATATGGGGATCTGGTGCCCTCTTCTGGCGTGCAAGTGTACATGCAGTCAGAGCACTCATACACACAAAACAAATAAATCTAAAAAAACACAGTTGAGGGGCCTTGGTTTGGTCGCTACGCTGAGCAGCACTGCACCGAAGGTGAAAGCATGCCTGGTGAAAACACCACCACCGCGCCACCCCACTACCCATCACCCAAGAGCTCTCCAGCGCTGCCCAGGCACTGGGTTACTTACCAGGTTCATGGCCTGTGGAGGAGAAAGGGACAGAGGATTAGAAGATGCACATGAGGGCTCAGTGGGGAAGGGGACATGGTTGGTTGGTTGGTTTTTTTACAACCTACCCCCACCTTGTGCTCTGGCTGTCAGTTCCTAAGGAAGCCAAGAGGTGGCTGGGTGCCCTCCCCATCCCCAGAGGGAGAGTTCCTGCCCACCAGGGGGCGCCCTAGCATGAAGAAAAAAGTCAGGACCAGAGGCCTGTCTGTCCCTCCTAGAACTGAGCCATAGGCGTGGGGGGAAACAGGGCACAGATCCAGAACCCCAGACTAGAATTCTCAACCAGGCACTGTCTTCTTATCCGCACTCAGCTGCCAGCCAACATCCTTCATCCCCTCCCTCAAGTCCCCAGGCCATTAGCAAGCAACAGTGAGGAGAAAAGAGCAAGGGGGAACACAGAGGAGAGGCAGGCTTGAGTAGTCCTCAGACACTGGTCCCCAGGGGCTGTGGCCTGTGAAGCCTACTTTTGGGTTGGTTGTTGAGACAAGAGTGTCGCTGTGTAGCCCTGGCTGTCCTGGAACTCAGATCTGACTGCTTCTGCCTGAGTCCAGGGGTTGACATGCCACTACACCTGGGCACCTAGGAGTTTTCGAAGTCACTGCTGTCACCTGTGTGTCTCAGACCCTCTCAGTTCCTCAGCCCTGTTCTGGGCCCCAGAGGAGGCTGGGCAGGGCTAGGCCAAGTGGCAGGGGGCCCATACCTTCAGCTTGGACTGAATCTCCCCGAGATTTCCTCCTGGCTAGAACCTGCAAGTCACTAGAGACCTGTAGGGAAAGAGAGAAAGAGCGAAGGACAGGAGAGAGAGGCAAGAACAGAGCTCAGGCCAGAGAGAGGTACAGCAGGATGGAGGGCCGACCGAGGCAGAGGCCTACAGCGTGCGGAGCAGGCAAGGCACCGTGGAGGGGGCCCGGGAGGGGCCAGAGGCCCTGCCAGGCACCCGACATACCTTGATGCCAACCTGGTATTCCCGAACCTTCTTCCGAGCGAGAACCTGTATGTGGCTGGACACCTGAGAGGCGCCCCCGTGCCCGCCGCAAAGGAAAACACAGTCGGTGAGGAGATGCAGCCAGGATGGCAGGGGCGGAAGGAGGTCCCAACTCTCATCCTTGGGGGACCGGGGTCTAGTGGGAGAGCTCGGGCATCTCGGTGGGCGCATGCCTGTTGGGACTGTCAGTCCTGTTTCTCCTTTTGTTGAATTAACCCACAGTGGGCTCACGGACCACCATGCGCGTTGTGTAGGTCGGTGACGGAACAGAGCCCCAGTCCTTGATCGAGCACTGTGCTCAGGCAAGGGCTGCACTCCCCGAAGGAAGTGGGTCTCTCCCTCGTGGTAGTCCTCCCTTCTGAGGGTACCACAAAGGCGAGGCGTGGCCCTGTGGCTTCTCCCAGCACTGCATGCTTACTGATGCCACTTTTTTTTTTTTTAAAGATTTATTTATTTTATGTAGATGACTGCTCTATCTGTATATGTGCCTGCACGCCAGAAGAGGGCACCAGATCTCATTATAGATGGCTATGGCCAGCAATTGAACTCAGGACCCTCTGGAAGAGCAGCCTGTGCTCTTAACCTTTGAGCCTTCTCTCCAGCTCCCCACCCCACCCCTTTTTTAGACAAGCTCTCACTATGTAGCCTTGGCTGGAATGTGCTATGTAGACCAGGTTGGCCTTGAACCCACAGAGAACCATCTCTGACTCCCCAGCGGGATTAAAAGCTTTGCCACAGCTCCTATCAGAGATCCTTTCACAGTCCTGTTTACCCTGACTCTCAGCCTGGCCCTCCCCTGCCTTCACCCCTCAGCTGCTTCGGGGCCAGGCAGACATGCCTTTCCATGAACAAACAGATTCATATACTCAGAACAGACCATGGGCTAGAGGACCCACAAGCCACCAAGGCTGCTCCGCGGTCAATATGAGCAACTGCTGTGGGCTTTCTTTGAAGGCTTTTTCGTTGTTGTTGTTTCTTTGTTTTATTTTATTTATTAGTGGTTTTCTTTAAGATTTCATTATTTTTATGTACATCGGTGTTTTGCCTGCCATGCACATGTACGGGGACGCCAGATGCCCTGGAACTGGAGTTACAAACAGTTATGAGCTGCCATGGGGGTGCTGGGAATTAATCCTGAGGCCTCAGAGAGCAGCCAGCACTCTTAACCACTAAGTCAACTCCCTAGCCCCCTCTTTGAAAGTTTTCTCATTCTCATAAAGAAACTGTTGTTTTCGCTGTGGCCATAGGACCCCAGCAACTTTGCCTAGCTGGGTCCCCAGAGTCCCAGCTGATGCTTCCTGTTGCCCTGACAACACAGCTACCAAACATACATGCTGATGTTCCCCAAGCTTCAGAAGCCCTTGATCCCTGCAGCAACCCTCGGACTTCCAGATGACCCCCTCAAAGCCCAGACAGTGAGCTGCGAATCCAGGGTTGGCTGGCCAGCTGCAGCGCTGGCATTCAAAGCCAGGCTGGGTGGCTACTCTCCCATGGTTCCTTCGGACCCTTAGCTCCGGGGGACCACCTCCCTGAGGCCGGCTGGACCAGCTGGAAGTCACAGGGGCTTACTCCAAACTAAACGTTTACCTGTGTGGTTAATAACAAAGGCATGCTGGCATGTACCTTTGATCCCAGCACTTGGGAGGTAGAGGCGGGCCAGCCTGGGCTACACAGTTCAGTCAGAGGGAGTCCCACCATTACAAATGATGGGAGACACGGGCACCAGGGCCCAGATGGCTGGTTGCCCTGTATGGAGAGCCTAGTCCAGAGTAGGGGCAAGGGGGGTGGTCAGAATGAGCCAGGAGTTGGCGAGGCTGAGTCTGATTCAGAGTCTGAACTCGCAGGCCCTCAGCCCCTTCCCAGGGCTGACCAGAGGCTCCTGGGAATATGGATGTGGCAGTAATGGCAGCAGATGAGCCTGCTGCTTTAGGTGTCCACGTGTCAGTTAATTCACACTTGCCCAGGAGCCAAGGCTGGGAGGCACACCTAGCCCCAGGTGGGACAGACTCTCAGAGCCTCAGAGTCCTGGGGAGGGCAGGACTGAGGCGAGGCTTGAGCCAGAGCCTCACTCAGGGGAGTGAGGCTTCGGCTTCAGCCTCCAAGGGCTGGGACTGCAGGCGTGTGCCACTCCGTTAGGGTCTTTGCCTTCCAAGTGCAGGAGGCCTAAGCTCAGGGACCAGCCTGTGTGCCCACCCCTGCTACACTGGAGGGTCTCAAGATGTTGCCATAGGACCTCATCCGGACTGCCAAGCCAAGGGCAGGCTTCACTAAACGCCCATGCTAGGCAGAGAGGCTAGAGTCCGGCCACCACCCCTTTGAAGACTGAGATTAGGACAGGTGTGCTTGTCTATACACTCCCAGCTCTCTGAAGAGGACAGCTCGCACCCCCCCGGCCTGGTCGCCCACAGCTGCCTGCCTTCCCAGAGGGAAGCTGTCCCCCTCCATGCCCACCTCTGTGAGAGCAGTCTCTGCCTCTACCTCCTGGCTGGCCTCCTAGAGCTACCGCCCTGGCAGAGGCGGCGGGCCCCTATCCTCCACAAGGACCTCCACTCTTTGATTCCCCTCCCACGCTCCCTCCCCCTTTCTCCTTTGTACCACCTGCTCCTGGCTCATGGTCTAGGGGCCAATCTTGACTCCCCCTTCCCAACCCCTCCCCCCCAGCTCAGGGACACATTAGGGGCCGCTAAACTCCCCTTTCCCAGTTTCTTGGGTTTATGCCAACAAGACACAAGCTGGAGTCATCTGGGAAGAGAAGCTCACTGGAGAAAATGGCCCCCACCAGCCTGGCCTGTGGACAAGCGTGTGGCGCGATTTCTTGATTGATGTGGCAGGGCCCAGCCCTTTCTGGACACTTCCACCCCTGGGAAAGTATCCGGATAGTCTAAGAAATCAGAGGGCAGAGGCAGCAGGAAGTGCCCCTCCGTGGCTTCCAGGTCCCTGTCCTGACTTCCCGGGGAGGGGGGGGGGGAAGCGGACGGTTCTCTGGAAGTGTAAGGTGAAACAGACCCTTTCCTTCCCAGTATGCTTTTGGTCATGATCTTTATCATGGCAATGGATACCCTAAGTCACAGGAAGGGTTAACACTTGCAGGCAGGATGAATGGTGTGAGCTATGTGTCTGTCCCTTGGCAGTTTCGTGGTGTGTGCTAACACAGTGGGGTGCAGGGCTTTGCTACCATGCCTGATCTGACTTCCCCCCAGCCCCCGCCTGGCAGGGCCCCCCCCTCGTTAACTCCCACACCTTCCAAAGGCGCTTGGCCTCCCTCCTCCAGGCTAACCTCCAGCAGGCAAACACCCACCTTCTGACTGCTGAGCAGGCCGTGAGGCCTAATCTTGGTCCCTAAACCTAAGACACCCATGGGTGAGGTGGCAGGGGCCAGGGCCATCTCTACCTGTTTTCTGGTCCTGGTCTTTCCAGTCCTCAGCTTGATGTAGCGGGCGATCAGCTCATTTCGACCTAGTCGGAGGGCGAGACAGAGCCAGTGAGGACCAGGGGGCGGTGGTTCAAGTGGAGGCTGGGCACGCCACCCCTCACCACCAAGGGGCCCCCTGCACACAGTGTGCAGGACTGGGGGGAAAAGGAACGGGGTTGATCGGTTTCCTAGGGCGTGTGGCCATCATTCCCAGCAAGGCCCAGAGGACGTGGGTGTGGGTGGGTCTCTGTGTGTCCCCTATCCGTGGGCGGTTTTGTCCTGTCTCATCCTGGTCTTGGGGGGGCCCCGAACAAGCCCTGCCCATTCTCTGGTGGAGATGGGCAGGAGACGTCTGATATGTCTCTCATGACAGCTTGGGTCAAGGTGTGTCGCTGGGTCCTCGGGCCAATGACCCCTAAGGCATTGCCCAACCCTCTCTGAGGCTTGGGGCGGGGTCTTGACTCAGCACGAGAGACCCTCTCTGGGAGTAGGCTATGCAAGGTGGGCGCTGTCTAGACAGACCACGGGGTGTATGCCAGCACCCAGGGCGTGAGCTCGGCCCCCCAACCTCCTGGCCTCCCCAGAACTGCCACATTCCCCAAATTCCTCTTCGATGACAGAACAGGCCCCATTGCTCCTCCCTGCCTCGCCAACCCCTTGTCTAAAAATACCCAGTGGGGCTGCCCTGCCATTGGCGAGGGTGCAATGTGGACAGGCGGCCCCACCCGGTGGAGGCACCCCAGAACATCCTCCCGTCCCAAGAGCGGGGTTCGGGCATCAAGGACTGGCCCATCCAGACAGTGGGGTTGGAATTTCCCTGTCCCCTCAGTCCTGGGTGCTGGGAGCTGGAGTCTGGGGTTGCCTCACTAGGCCATAGGCTCTCACAGAGAATCACTGGACTGACCCAGTTTTCCAGGCCCCCTGAGTCACCCCGAAACCTCCAGCCAACAGAGCTGGGGAGAGGCGGGGCGCGTGTGGGCTGCGGCAGGCCTGTTTGCGAGGTGCAGCTGGAGGAGGCCGCAGACACACGCAGCCCCAGCCCGCCCGGACTCGCCCGCCGGGCAGGCGGCCAGCGCTCCCCCAACCAACCGGTCTGGCAGGGGACAGAGAGCAGGGGGCGGGGCCAGCGGCGGCGCCCCGCCCACCTCCGCCAGCCGGCACTCACCGTACATCTTGCCCTCATCTGACAGGATGATCTTGCGCCGGCCGCAGGGCGGGTAGATGGCCAGGGCCTCCTGGAAGCTCTGCTCAATATCCGGGCTCCACACTCCCTCGGCATCGTTGTCCAGCCCCTTGTCCAGGCCTTCGGACCCATCTTCCCGGGCCTCCCCGGGGCTGCTGTTGGCGGTCCAGCTGTTGGACGCTATTGTGCTGGTTGCTCTGGGCTCTGGGCCTGAGCCCCCTGGACAGCCTGCGCCTAGGCAAACAGATGCCAAGGGTTAGGGCACGCTTTCCCCAGCCCAGTGGCCACACTCAGTGGTCCCCACGCCACGGGCAGGTGCTCCTGGCTGGGTGGAGGCTGAGGCTAACCCTGTTCAGAGCTGTGTGACCTTGGATGAGTTAGTTTACCTCTCTAAAACGGCAAAATGCCCAGCCGGGGCGGTGGCGCACGCCTGTAATCCCAGCACTCAGGGAGGCAGGGGCAGACGGACCTCTGCGAGTTCGAGGCCAGCCTGGTCTGCAAATCAGCCTAGGACAGCAAAGGCTACACAGAGAAACCCTGCCTCAAAAAAAAAAAACAATAAACGAATAAATGAATAAGGTCTCTCGGAAGGGAGGGCTGGGGAAGATGATTAACACTGAAGGACCGCAGTTCTGTTCCCCACACCCATGTCCAACAGTTAGCAACTCTTGTCTCTCCAGTTCCAGGGGACCCTGACACCTCTGGCCCCAGCAGGTACCTACCTACACTCTGCACATATACAAAACTGGAAGAAAAAAAAAAAAAAAAAAAGGCTGGGTGGTGGTGGCACACACTCTTAGTCCCGGCACTTGGGAGGCTGAGGCAGGTGGATCTCTGAGTTCAAGGCCAGCCTGGTCCACAGAGGAAGTTCCAGGTCAGCCAGGGCTACACAGGGGAAACCCTGTCTCGAAAAACAAAACAAAAAAAGCCCTATTTTAAAATTAAAAAGGAAAAAAGGGTCTGCCTGAGTTATGAGGGTTAAAAAAGCCAGACTGGAAACACCGGAAAAATACTGGTGTGGTGACACTCCCGTCATCCCAGTGCTTGATGGCTGAGGCAGGAGGATCGTCAGGAGTTCAGCCTCCTCCACTACACACCACACATTGGGGACCAGCCTGGGCTACAGTGATACCTTCACCCTTCTTGTCCCTCTCCTCCCCAAAATAAGAGAGCTGACTAGATGGTTCTGTTATAAGGACATCTGCCTGATGACCTGAGCTCGGTCCCTAGTTGCCACACGGGGCAGGAGAGAGCGGACTCCTGCAAGCTGACCCCTGACCTCCACAAGGGGGCACAGACAGGCACACAGGAATAAATCAACCTATTGTGGTAAAAATAATGTCAAGGGGGGCTGGGGAGATGGCTCAGCCGTTAAAAGCACGGGCTGCTCTTTCAGAGGACCAGGGTTCAATTCCCAGCATCCCCATGGCAGCTATAACTCCATTTCCAGGAGATCTGACACCCACACAGACATACAAGCAAAACGCCAAGGCACATGAAATGAAAGTAAAAAAAAATTAAAAAGTAAAGGGGGAGAGATCTCCTTGCTCACCAGCTACAACATAGCCACAGGAGGACTGCAAAGTTCAAAGTTCATTGCTGGACTGCCCAGGGAGACCCTGACTCAAAACCCAAACAAAAACCTTCTGAGACACTGACTGGCCATGGCGGGCAGAAGCCTGTAACTGCAGCACCTTGGAAGGCTGGGGGCAGGAGTTCAAGGGCATTCCCCATCTCCGCCCAGCAAAGAGTCCAGCCTGGGCTACATGAGGGCCACCCCCACAGGGCACCTGCAAAGCTGCCCAGCCTCTACCCAGGCAGACACAGAGGAGGCTTGTTCCCCCTCAGGAAAGCTGAGGCCTGGGACTGCCTGGGGAGCTCTGAAGAGGAGTGCCAGAGGAGAGGTGAGCTCCAAGCCAGGGCCTTGGCCATGCCACCGAGTGCAGTGGCTTGAGGCTGCTCTCACCTCCACAGAGGACCTGAGCATGGGCTAGGCGCTGTCCTGGGAGGTGCAGCCAGCACTCCGGCTCTGCCTGTCGGGGGTCTCCATCCACTTCCTGTTCCCATACCTCCTCAGCCCCACAGCAGCCCATAAACCACACACACACAGTCCTGTCCTGTGTGGCCCACAGGGTGGACGGGCCAAGGCTGTGAACGGAGGGGCACCCTTTCCATCCCCCACAAACACAGCCCAGAAGCACCTCACACCTCCAGCAACCCCAGAGGCCCGGAATCTGAAGTCAGAGTTCTGGGGGCGGTCGGCCCTTGATGGCTTGTTTTTCCTGGTCAAGCAAGAGTGCACGGTGTCTGACTGTAGCACGGTGATACTGCACGCCTTCGATCCCAGGCACTCGGAAGGCAGAAGCAGGCAGGTCTCTGCGAGTTCGGGGCCAGCCTGATTTATATCGAGAGTTCCAGGACAGTCAGGGCTACACAGAGAAACCCTGACTCAAAAAAGAAAAAAAAAAAAAAAAAAAAAAAAAAAAAAGAATGCCGTGTCTGAACGAATAATGTTAAGCCTGGAGCTCATTTTATGTTTCTATAGACAGTAGCTGCCCATTGCCTCAACCTCCCAGTGGGCGGGATTATCAGGCATATGCAGCAGCACACAGCTGCAGACATCAGCCTTAGTATCCCCAGAGGCGGCACCTGCCATCTGCCAGGCACGGTTTGGGGTTTTATGCAACGACTCATCCAGTGTTCACAGTCACCCTTTGGGTACTAGTATTGGCCCTACTTTGTACTCTAAGGAACAGAGACGGTGAACATCTTCCCCCGGTGCACACAGAAGTGTGTGCTAGAGCTGGGTTTGGAACAGAGTTCCTGGTTAGTGGCAGAGATGGGGGCCGCCAGGTTCACGGGGAGAAGAGAGGCCCTCGCTGCTTACCCCCCGATCATGTAAACAGTGAAACCCGCCGCCTGGATGGGAAAAGGAGGTCTAGGCCACCAAGCCCCCTCAGCTGAAGTGGCTGAAACAACTTCAAAGGCTCCAACACAACCAGCTTAAGACCAGCCATTCTGGTGGCTTCCAAGATACCCAGCAGTCAGTCTCTCTCTCTCTCTGGCTCTCTGTGGCCAGTGGGCAGCAAGGGTCACAGGCCTCTACCCAGAGCCTGTCCCTCACCTCAGGAACAGAACAAATGGGGCAGGGCGGTGTGATAGCTGGGGGAGGGGGACACTAGAGGTCTTTCACCTCCTCAGGTATCAGTCTGGCACTGATGGTGCTGTCAGATCGGCAGGAAGGAGCGGGGAGGGGGGAATCCCACCCAGAGATAGGACCTCTTGGCCCACAGCCTCCAATGGAGGAACAGCCAGACCCAGTTCAAGGGGGCCTTGGCAGCCTGGCTTCTGAAGAAACTTTCTAGCCTCCCCCAAGTCTCTGGCTGCTTCCAGGCCATGCCCCCCCACCCCCACTCCCGCCTCCCTCCTGGGTGATGTCAATCCTGCCCCGCCCCCCGAGGGAGCATGTGGCCAAATATGGCGAACAGAGCAGCCGGGGAGCTGGGACAGACTGGGGGATGGGGCAGCCCCTGGCTGGGAGCTCAGATAGCTGGTGAGGGGAAAGGGCATGGGGGGGGGTGTCAAGGAGGAGGGACCCTGATACAGGTCCCTCACCTGGCTCCTGGGCACCTGTAGGGCAGGACTGACATGGTTCTAGGGACGCACCTCTAGAGGACAGAGTGTGCACACAAGTGGCACAAATGCGCCCCTAAAACACCCTCACACAGCAGCAAAGCTCTTGGCTGCCCAGCGCGGGGAAATGCTGGGGGCAGGGGTCTGCGCTGCCAACATCATCCCAAGGAGACATCCTCCAGGAGGGGTGGGGGCTACCGGGGTGATCACAGTGTCTGAGTGTGAGAGCTCACCCCCAAGCCCCCAAGAGGCAGGTGGGTGGGAACACCTCCACCTGCAGGCCGTGCTCTGAGAGGAATGAGGGGCAGGAAATGGAAAGGGGAGATGGGTAGGTGTGTGGGGGGGTGTCCCAGGAGAATCATCCAGCGACCAGCAAGCGCCGGACAGCTGGCTCCCCAGGGAGGCAGATGGACAGACGGGCTCACATCTGGAATGGGAGGAGGGAGAAAAGCAACCCATCCAGACCCAGGAAAGACCCAGGGACGGGCCCGCGGCACCCAGGTAAGGAGGAGGGACCCCCCCAGGGACACAGACACCGCAGAAAGAAGGGGCTGGCAGCAAGAACAGAGGAAGGACAGAACCGGGAGAAAGGAGGAAGGGTGGCAGGGCGGGGCCTGGCTCAGTCCCTCCTCCAGCAGACCCTCTCCCTCCCTCAAGCGGGAGTTCTCTGCATGACCTTAGCCTTCCCCACCTCACCCTTAGCCGGCAGGCCAGTCACACCTGCCTCATCGCCTCCCAGACCTCAGCCTGGGGGAGGGGGGATCAGAAGGTGCCTCGGGCCAGCGATGAGGAAGGGGCTCGAGAGATAAGGGGCCTTAGCTGCCCACTCCCAGCCCTGGGGCCGGATCTGCGGGCAGAACCAGCCAGATGGCCCTGAATGGGGGCCAGAGCTGGGCGGCTGGCCTCTCCAGACCACCACCCAGCGGCTCCCTCCGAAGAGGGACCCCGAAGGCTGGTGGGCGCACAGCAGAGGCAAGAAACGTTATCAGGTGGTCCTGTTGTTTCTCAGGGGGTGCGGAAGCTGAGCTGGCCCCGCAGCCAGCAGCTACCTGCCCTCGAGAGACACCGGCCCCCAAATGCTTACGTTTACCGCAACAATAACCGAACGTGGGCAAATGAGTGGGTCCCCAGGCGCTCCACCCCCCAGGCTGGGCAGAGAGGAGGTGAGGCGGGGAAGGGCCCGCTGGGCCTCCCCACCCCCTTGCCTTTCTTCCCTCTACCCCACCCCCACAGCAGCCAGCTGTTCTCCAGCTGCCAGAGGCTCCCACCCCACAAGTGGCCACGTTCTGGTTGGGACCAGAATGGGCCAAGGGAGGGGGCAGGGATGCTCTCTGCACCCCCCAACCTCCAGTCTAAGGACCCAGGGGAGACCTGCCAAGCAGCCACACCCTGCCAGGCCGGGGAGGAAGGACCCTCTCCCTTGCTCCACAGGAGGGAGTAATTTACCGGCCAAAGAGGAGGCGGAGCCTCCCCTCTCCCGCTCACTAATGTGCTTCCAATTTGAGAACCACGGTTCTCAACCCACCCCTCTCCCCAACAACTAGGAGCCGAGGCCGGGAACAGCTCCCTCCTCAGAGCCCCCAGGGCTCCTGCTCACAGAGCTGACCCAGAGACCCTCAGAGATCCGGCGGGGGCAGGCTGGGGGACAACCTTCGGAACTGGGGTCTCACGAGCTCACTATCTCTCCCGCCCAGGCTGCCTGCTGGGCTGCCAGCAGCAAGCGATGCCATTTGAAGCCAGCGTCCTGGTCCTTCCTCTAACAGGAGGCTCAGCCATAGTACAGTGTAGCCTCCTGGTTTAAAACACACACACACATCCATGCTCATATGTATTCACAGTATTACTATGTTTTCATATGTGTATCTATATGATCATGGACTGGCCACTGTGTGGGGGTCAGGAGGCAATTGGGGGTCACTTCCTCCCTCCCACAACACAGGTCCTAAAGATCAGACTGGGGTGGGTCATCAGGCTTGGCAACCCGCACCCTCTCCTGCTGAGCCACCTCACTGACCCCACCCCCTTCTTAAAAAGAGGGCCTTCTCCGGGGTAACCCGGCTACACTCGGACCTGGTGGTACTCCTAAGTGTGGAGTTTTCAGAGGAGAGGAAAAACTCAAATCAGGATTACGCGCCTCACAACATAAGTGTACCATTTTAACTACTTTTTTTCCTTACTGGGTTTTGTAGCTCTAGCTGGCCTTGACCTCACCATCTTCACACCCCCGCCTCCCAAGTGTTGGGAATTGCAAGTGTGAGGGGGGAAAAAAATCAGTGTGGTAAAAGCAAAAATAAATAAATATACCGTGCTGGGAGTCCACTGGGCACATACACCTTCTCTCTCATGGTATCTTTTTTTAAATTTTTCTAATTTACTGATTGATTGAGACAGGGTCTCTCTGTGTAGCCCTGGCTGTCCCGGGACCGCTCTGTAGACCAGGCTGGCCTGGAGTGCAGAGATCTGCCTGCCTCTGCTTCTGGAGGTGCACACCACCACACCCTGCCCGACACTAGCTGTTTCCAGGTCCTCCAGGTAGATGCCACATGCATCGGGGTCACAGGCCCCCACGCCCGGTGCGGCGCAGCCCTGAGGATGTCACCCACACAAGCTGAGACAGCGACCACCCATGGAGTCCCTCTCAGTCACACCCCAGTTTCTCACGCAGGGAGCCACACACTCTGGCTGGCTCTCCCGGCAGTCTCGCTCACAGACGGGTGCACTCGCCACACTCAGAGCACACGCGCCGCGCCCCTGTACAGGCCAATATCATGACTGACATGAGAAGGGGCCACCCCACCGCAGGACAGGTCACGTGGAATGGCCCCCACAGAGAACCACACACAGCCAGTGTGCCCACCAGACACACCAGTCTTTTTCACAACTCGCCTGAGTGACACCCAACAACAGAACGTCATCCCGGCAGCCTCTCTCCTACATGGCCTCCCCACCCAACCTACACCCCAGATTCCCACAGGCTCGCTCGCTTCCCACCACGGGGGTCCTGGACACTGAACTCCAGTCTGTAGTTGACTAGGAATGCTTTTTCCTCAGGGCCGCCTGGCAGACCCAGGATCTCAGCTTCTCTGGAGACCTCCTTGATGGAGAACACCTCAGTGGCCTCACACAGGTCGCCACAAACTGCTGCTCTTGCCCGTGGCTACCAAGGCTGTACCTGGGTCCTTTCCCACGCATGCCCACTGCGCAGCGCGTCCCCCACGGATGACCCCTCATGCCCCCTCACTCACTCACACGCTCAAATCCAGTCACACGCAGCTGCATTCTCATTTCCCTCTATCACTTCCTGCCCTTTCAGGCCTGGCAGGGAGTCCAGGAAACAATCAGCACTCTAGGAAACCCCAGGGCCTGAGGCTTTGGGGATCTGGGTCCTGATTCTCTGGCCCTGGGCCCCCAGAGGGTCTGGAGCAGGCAGCAGCAGCGACTACAGGGGTGGCAGTGACCTGCTGACCCTGAAGCTCCAACCAGACAGGCGCAGGCTGGGGCCGACAGGCAGGCCCTCACAGCCCCTGCTTCCCTGTGGTCCCTCTGCCACTCACTCCTCAGGCGGGAGTCCACCGCCATCTAGCTCTCAGCAACTCTGTGTCCACTCACTGAGGTCAGGGCTGGTGGTGGCTTCCGGTCCAGCAAAAGCTCCCCCATGGTGCGCTAGGGCGCCCTGAAAGGCTCCAGGGCCGAAGCTGGCCATCCAGCGACCCCCGAGCCCCACGTACAAGGGCAAACACCCACAGCTCCACACAGCCTCCCTGTCCCAGTCACACTACCTCAGGTCAGGTCTCACGTCCCTCCCCAGACTCTGCCCCCCTTCCTTGCACCAGCTGGGGCTACCCACCCACCCCTCCAAACCCCTCCGGGTTCAGCTTCCATGATGGGAGGAGACTGAAGGCAGCAGACAGGGGGACAAGCCTCCGAGGGGAACCGGGGAGCAGAGACCTGTCTCCTGACCGCCTCAGAGCTGTCTCTTCTTCAAGCGTATTTCTTTCTCCCATCAGCATAACGGGTTGGAGGGTAAGATTCAGTGACTGCGGGTGCGGGGCTCGGACAGACACTCACCTACGTGTGTGCGCACACACTCAAAGCTCTCTTGCCAACCATTGACCATTCTGCTCCACCAGCCCCGGCCCCAAAGTGCTAATTAACATTAATTACAGTTCCCTCCCTCGGGGTGGGGAGACCTGGCTTGCAGCCCCTCCCTGAGGAGGGGGTATCCAGTCTCTCGTGTCCATTCTTTACCCTCTACCCTCGGGGTGAGGAGACCCTCATCCCTCCCAGGAAGGAATAAAACCTCCACAGTGGGGAAGACCTCAGCGGGAAGGGAAGGCGAGGGCGCCCTCAGCTGCTTTCACAAGCGTGGAGAAGAGAATCTCCCAAGGAAGTCGGGGTGGGTGGGGGGCGGGGGTACCAGGAAAGGCAGAGCCAGGGTCTCCCTACGCCTCCAACTTCCATCTGCTTTCCTGGCCTCAGGAGGCAGCAGCCCACAGCCCGGTGTGTGTAGGGGGGTCCCAGGCCCCAGCACTGAGGCGGAACCGTGTGTGCACGGTTCAAGCTACGGGAGCGCCAATACACGGAGCCACCACGGACACCAGCCCCTCAGAGCTGTGTCCAGCCCCCACTCCCATCCACAGGGTTGGGCTACAAGTCCAGGCCTGACTTGAAAGGTTCTGCCCCTACCTGGAGAGTCACGGAGGGACACAGGCCCTGAGAAGCCCGGCACCGGGCCTCGTTCCCCTCCTGCTCTTAAGAATCTAAACCCTCAACCAGGGCCCCTGTTGGGGAGAGGGGGGTGAGCAGGGGCTTCAGTGACACTGCCCTGGGGCCTGTGGGGCTAGAAAGCAGACCCACACCAGCACTCCCCCCCCCAGGCAGGAGTAAAGACGTGACAGACAATGGAGAGGATCCGAGTGGGAAGGGAAAACCAGCCGCCTTCGGTTGTCCTAACAAGCTCTGCGGAGAAGTGTGGGGAAGGCCCCAAATCCAGCCGCGTCCGGAGCGAGGCTCCTGGAGGTCGGAGCTTGGGCTCCGAAGCCCTCGCCCCGACGCAAGCGGCAGGATTAGGGGGGACAGGCGTCCCCCGCCCTTGGGTGCGCACACGCTTCGGGCTCACAGTGTGGCTTCCCGACGCCCGGCCGGGACCCAGCACAGCCGCGAGCAGCGCGCACACCGACGCGCCCCGGCCCAGGCCTGCGCGGAACCGGGGCCGGCGGGCTCCCGGAGTCCAAAGGGCGCCCCGGATACGAGTCCCGGCGGCAGGCCCAAGGAGCCCGGCACACGGCGGGGCCAGGCCCGGGCACCCGGGACACTCCGGGCTTCCCAGCCTCCGGGTCGCGGGAGGGGGGGGGGGGCGGGGCTTCCCGGGGGGCGCCCCCCCCCCCCCCTTCCCTCCAAACTTCCCGGCACCCAGGTCGTGGGCTCGGGAGCAGGCTGGACAATAGCTCAGCGCTCCCGGAGCGTCCCGGGTCCCCGCCTTCCAGAAGCCACCCGAGCAGTCACCTTTGCGCGCGAGGCCTCCGAGCTGCGTCCCCCCCTCCGGCTTACCTGCTCCGAGCTCCGGGGGGCGCTCCGCCGGGCCGCTCCGCCGGGCCCGAGGGAGTAGTGAGGGGGGCCGGGAAGGGGGGTCGTGGGCAGGGGGATGGCCGGAATGTACGGAATGAGCCGGGCCGGAGCGGGAGGTGCTGGGCGCGGAGGAGGGAGCGAGCGGGACGGAAAGTTTGTGTTGAGGAGCCGGGCGGGGGGTGGGGGCTGCGGGCGGGAGGGGCGGGACCGGTGGGCGGGACCGGCGCTGGGCGGGGCCTGGGTGGGCGGTGTTATCGGGGGCGTGGTCTAGGGCGGGTCCCGGCCTGCAGTCTCTTCCGACCACCCGGCCCCAAGAACGCCCGTCACTGCGGATTCACCCTCCCGCGCACCCCTCTTCTCTCCATTTTGAGTCCCCACCTCCCCTACACGACCCCCTTTGGGGTACCCCGCTGACTCTTGGGGATCGGGCCTGGGGCGGAGCCAGGAGTGGGGCTCTGCCCACTGGGCTGGACTCCCGGAGGCGTCCGAGGGTCCTGGGGAGCTGGGGTTCCGCGCATCCCAACGGCGCCCGAACGCGCACGGGGTCTCAGGCACCCCACCCTCCTGCTCGGGTGCCGAGGCCTCAGCAGCGCCCCTCCTGCCGAGAGCCCGCCCCCCACTCCGGGGCCCCAGACCCGGCTCCGCCCTGCCGGGACCCGGTTTGTCTGGTTCTCCCCGAGTGGCTAGTTTCTCGAATTTCTCCTTTTCTCTCTCTTCCTGGACCTCTGGGGCCCTCCCCCTCCGCCCTGCTGCCGAGATAGTAGGGGGCCGCGACCCTGCGCTCCCGCCGAGGTTCGAGAGGACCCGCGACCACAGGAGTCTCCGCGCACTCATCCAAGAACTACCTCTGCGTACAGCCGGGACGTGACTTTATTGGGGATGTGGGACCCTGACGCCCGCATCTCCGTCCTCCCCCCCCCCCCCCCCCCCCGCCTTCCTCTCCAGCACGGGCCCGGAGGGGCTTCGAACTTCTGACTCGGGCTCCCGGGCAGGAAGTGACTGGGGAGGAGGGGGCGGGCAGGCATTGCTGTTGGACCAGATCATCTCCATCCCCACCTCCTCCGCCGGTGCCAGGCGGGAGGGTGCGCGGAGGTCACCGAGAGGCAGAGGGGTGAGCCCTTCCGGGGGAGCTGAGGGAGGGACCCCGCCGCCCCCCACTGATGCTTTCCCGGCGCCGAGGGGCTGTGGGGCTGGTCACTCGCAGGCTAGCTTCCCGTCGAAGCTGGAGAGGGCGATGGCGAAGGCCTGCAGGGCGCACAGCGGGTAGCGGTAATCCAGGGTGAAGGCGTCCTCAGCCACTCGGCCGAACTGCAGCACGATGTAGTCGGCTGTGGGCGCGGACGAACGGCGGGGTGAGGGTGGCCCCGCCTTGGCAGGCAGCCCCTCACCACAGCGAGGTCGGTCTTGCCCCGGGCCACCTTTCTCTTTTGGTGTCATGCAGCCAGCCCCGCCCTCAGGGTCTGTCGCACCGAGTCCTGGGGCAGGAGCCCCACCTTATCGGCTGCCGCCCTGGGTTACTGCAAACCTGTAATCTTGCAGTACAGGACCCTGTCAAACTTGCCCAAGCCGGAACCCGTTCCTCACTTTTCTGCTGTCTTTTGGCCTCATTCCTCTGCCCTGACCCCAGTCTAGAAGGCTAACCTTTGACCCTGGTTCAGCCCCTTCTCTTATCCCAGGTGTTCCGACCCTTAAAGAGGCCCCCCCACCCCCGTTCTGATCAGAACTACCAGTGCCAAGCAATCTTAATCAATCACCCCTCCCCACCATCTTCCCTTCTCTGTCCCTTCTGAGACAGGACTTCATGTAGCCAAGGCTAACCTTGAACTCCTATTCCTTCTGCTATATCCCTCCCCAAAGTCCTGGCCTGAAACTCTCTCTAAAGACCAGGCTAGCCACCTTAAAACAAAAAACCCTCCACCCCAGGTCTGGGCTGGGGATGGGGGAGGGCATAGGACCGGCTGAATCCTCTAACCCTGGAGTCCTTCCTGTGGTACTTCTGAAGACGGGGATGGGGGTGGGTGGCTCTTGCCCAAGCTTCTGAGAGGGCAAGTCTGTGATGGCTCAGCAGCAGCAACATAAACAATACTGCTCGCTCTTTCGGGGGACTCGGGTACACTTCCCAGCACCCACACAACTGCCTACAACCCCAGCTCCAGCGGCTCTGCGGGCACCTGCACGCACACCAGGTGCACAGAGCTCACGCAGGCGCTCACACAGCAAAATAACAAAGCTTAAAAAAAAAAAGGAAGCTGTGGACACTAACTGCACGGTCCATATTTCCCACTCCTGGCGCTTGCTGTCAAGCCCGATGACCTGGGTTTGATTCCTGGGGCTTAAAGGATGGCAGGGGAGAAGTGACTTCCCCACTGTCCTGACTGACCTCCAGGGACACACAGAGCGGTGTAGACTTCCGCCCAAACCCTAACAATCCCACTCTTAAAAGACAACCCCTTAGCTGGGCGAGGTGGCACACGCCTTTGATCCCAGTGCTCAGGGAGGCAGAGGCAGGCAGGTGTCTGTGAGTTCCAGGCCAGCCTGGCCCTCTTAGAGAGTTTCAGAACAGCCAAATCAAAGTAATGAGGCCTTAAGACAACCAATTCCTCCTTTTTGTTGTTTTCCTCGAGACAGGGTTTCTCTGTGTAGCCTTGGCAGTTCTGGACTCACTTTGTAGACCAGACTGGCGTCGAACTCCCAGTGATCCGCCCGCCTCTGCCTCCCCTGAGTGCTGGGATCACAGGCGTGCCCCACCAGGCCCAGCTGATACCAATAATAAATTCTAACCCTCTTCCTCTGTGCGGGCCGTGGGCCCCATCACCTGCTTCACACAGCGGGGTTGGGCTTAGGGTGGTTTCCAGACTCCAGGAACTCATCCCTCCCTTCCTCTGGGTACCGCCGGAACGTCCTGGGGGAGAGAGGTCAGGGGCTGATGGGGTGGTCCTCGGATACTCACGGTCATCAGCATGCACAATCTGGAAGTTCTTGACGGAGGCCTGGGTGACCCGGCCCTGGAAGTTGAGGGTGTAGGAGCCGCTGTCTTCATTCCAGATGGGCGGCTTGTTGTGCAGCTCAATGAGGCTTTCCAGCGTCTTGTTCTGCCAGCGCACCAGCAGCCCGTCGCTGGACTGGCGTGCCCAAGGAGAGGTGACAGGGAAAGGGTGGTTAGAGGTGGCCGTGTTGGGGGACACTCTGGCCGAGAGTGGAAGGCACAGCTGGAACCCAGCAGCAGTTTTTGTTTTTTTTTTTAACCTGCCCTGGTGTTTTGCCTGCGTGTGTGTGCCAGATCTTGGAGTTACAGACGGTTGTGAGCTGCCATGTAGGTGCTGGGAATTGAACCCGGGTCCCCTGGAGGGGCAATCAGGGCAGGAGTTTTGTGCCTCTACTGTGACGAGTGTTCTTTCGGTCTAGGCTCCCGTTGAACGCCGAGCTCATCGAAGGAGCCTGGCTGGGTGATGGACGCTTTCGGGGTCCACTCACCTCCACCTGCCCACTGCTGGGTTGCAGGGACACACCAGTGTGCCCAGCTTTTACCTGGATGTTGGGGATCTGCATGCAGGGCTGTGTGTGTGTGTGTGTGTGTTTCAGGATCCCATATAGCCCAGGCTGGCCTAAAATCCCCTGTGTAGCTGAGGATAACCTTGAACTTCTCATCTTCCTGCCTCTACCTCCTGCGTGCCTGGGTTTTGGGGCGCTGGGCTCCATCCCAGGAACTTGTGCCTGCTAGGTGAGACACACACACACCTGGCAGTGCTCTGATCACGGCTGTGGCACATTGGGACCCTGGTTCTTACTGAATGGGATTAGAATAAAACAACTGTGGAGCCCACAGAACCCACAGGGCCTGGCTCCTGGCCAGTTTGGGCTCCCAGCATGGAGCATGAGGGAGCAGCTGACAGAGCTGTTACTTTTCACGGTACGTGAGTAACATGACGTCAGTCACCTAGGAACACGGAACGTGCCAGTCATCTCTCCAATCCTGGAGCTACGGAAGCTGGCATTCCTTCCCAGTGCCATTCCTTGGCCCTAAACCCTGCAATGACATCTCCTTTCTCTCAGAGCAAAAGCCAGTTAAACAGGCACCTTCTGCCCCTTGGAATCACCTCAGCCCTCATGACCTTTAGCCATGACGGTCTCTGGCATTCCAGCTTCATGAGGGATCCCATTGCCTCATGGTGGTGCATGCCTTTCACCCCCATGCTCTGAAGGCAGAGGTGGGCAGATCTCTGTGAGTTCAACCTTAGCCTGGTCTACACAGTGAGACCCTGCCTCAGAAACAATGCTCTTCCCCCCCCCAAAAAAAAATCCCCACCAAACTGAAAGAGCAAACTGTTCTCTTAACTGCTGAGCCATCTCTCCAGCCCTGCTCATTTCTTTGAGACAGGGTCCCAAGTAGCTCGGCCTGGCTTGGCGCCATCAATATGTAAGTAGTGATGGTCCTGGATTGCTGATGTGCCTGCCTCCTCCACCTCCCCGAGGCCTGGGGTTCTAGGACTGTGTGCCATGGTGCCTGACATGAATTCAGCAGCAGAGAACCTGAGCCCATTCTCCAAGCGGCCAGAAGGACTCTGTGACGGGCATACTCAGGGGACTCACTGGGCGAGCCGAGCCTCCCTCCGGCCCTGACTGCAGTGAGTGGGGCAAGGTTCTGGGGGGTAGGGGAGACAGGGGGCGACATGGAAGAGGCTCACATTTCGTGGCCGGATAGGGACTCTCTCATTGTCCGAGTTCATTCCAGGGATGATGACGGTCATGCGACGGGGTCCTCGGAAGCCTAAAACGTTGGTTTCCTGAAACAGAGATGGATGGTCAGCAGGCCGCATCCTACCCGAGGAGGCCCGGCGTGACGGGGACAGCCGCCTCTCACATAGACCACAGCTGCCAGCTCCTGGCGCAGGCTCTCCACGTCCACACCTCCGCCTCGCTGCGGGTTCTGCCCGTTGTCAAAGACCGTGAAGCGGTTACCCAGGAGGTTAGACCTGAGGGCAGGAAAAAAGTTTGGCCAAGGCGAGGGAGCACCTGCCTCCTCTCACCCCAAGACCCTTCCCACAATCTCCCAGTTCAAGAGCAAGGGGCTAGTTGGGTGGGGGTGGCGCACGCCTTTGATCCCAGCACTCAGGAGGCAGAGGCAGGCGGATCTCTGTGAGTTTGAGGCCAGCCTGGTCTACAAAACTGGAACTGAGTTCCAGTTCAGCCAGGGCTCAGTTACACAGAAAAAGCCTATCTCAAAAGTCAATCAAACAAACAAAAAAAAGAGCAAGGGCCACTGTGTGTCTTGAGACTAAGGAGGTCATGTGCCCCAATCCAGGCTTCCCTTGAAGGAAAGGAGAACTTCAGTTATTATTATTTTGGTTATTTTGAAACCGCCTGGCTCAGTGGTGGAGCACTGTTGTCTTTGCATGCCTCGGGCCTCAGGCTCAGTCCCCCGCAGCAGGAAGAGCAGAGCCAGGTGTGGTGGGGACAGGTGGGTGTGGGAGATGGGGAATCCAAGGTCATCTTCCACCCTAAAGTGAGGTCTAAATCAGCCTGGACTACAGAACACCCTGTCTCAAAAAAAAAAAAAAAAAAAAAATCAAAAGTGAGGCTGGCAAAATGGCACAGTGGTGAGCGGTGCCTGAGGACCCAAGTTCCATCCCCGGGACCTACGCTAAGGTAGGAGGTCAGAGGACAGCTTTCAGGAGACAGCTCTGGCCTCCTGCCTGTCCCGGGGACTGAACTCACGGTGGCAGGCTTGCCCCCTTTGCCATCTTGCTGGCCCTCAGCCTTTCCCCCTGTAAATCAGAACAGCTACAATCCTCCCTCCGGTTTAGGTGATCCAAGAATGAAATATTTGGCTAATCTTTGTAGAAGTGTTTAGAACAATGCCTGAGGCACAGGAACGAAAGGGCCCTGCATAGTTTTTGTTAAAATAAGTAAGTCCATCCATCCATTCATTCAGTAAATGTTGCTTTTGGGGTTTGTTTTGGTTTGGTTTTGGGTTTGGTTTGGTTTTTGGTTTTTTGAGACAAGGTTTCTCTGTGTAGCACTGACTGTCCTGGGCTCACCTTCTGCCTCTCTGGTGCTGGGATTAAAGGCTCCTGCTCAGGTGCTTTTGTTTATTTTTGAGACAGTGTTTCATTGTGTAGACCAGGCTAGCCTTGAACTCACCAAGCTCTGCCCCTCTGTCTCCCACACCCTGCTCGTTTTTTTTTTTTTTTTTTTTTTTTTGAGGCCAAGTCTCAGGAGTTCATGTTAAACTTGAACTTGCTACATAGCCAAGGATGGCCTTGAACCTTGCATCCTCCGGCCTCAACCTCCCAGGTGCTGGTTTTACAGACATGTTCCATGACACCTGATCTATGTGGTGCTGGGACCAAACCCCTGTTTAAGCAAATGGACACAGTCTCTGTAGCCCAGGCTGGCTCCAAGTTCCTTACACAGCCAAGCATGACCTTGAACTCCTGATACTTTACTTCCCAAGTGCTGGGATTATGGCGCATGCCGCCACACCCTGCAGTATATCTTCCTAGAGGAGATAGTACTTGGGCAGTGCTAGTACTCAATGACAAAGGCCACAGCCCTGGCCCTGCCCTCATGCAGCTAGAGCCCTGCTCTATGAGAGCCCTCAATCAGGTCTCCACGCTCCACATGCCCTAGGCTGGGAAATGTCCCTGCAGCATCCCATGGGGCATGTGGTTGGGGGGGGTGCTCTGCCAGCCACAGTGGGGCAGAAGTGACTGCCGGTGGCCCAGAAGCGAGGCTGCACCTCAGCTTTCCGATGAAATTCTCTCCTCCCCTGGACAGGTTGGTGGGGTCACTGGAGATGAGGTAGTTGGCGGTCTTACTCCGTTTGCGTTTCCTGCCCGCCAGGAGGAACACCTACAGAGAAGGTGATGAGGGAGGCCGATGCAACTGGAGGCCCAGGGAGGCCCAGACAGCGCCCTTGAAACTGCCTCTCAGCCTTAGACACCCCCAGCCCTAGGCACCTCCCCCAGCTCTAGGCACCGCCCCCAGCGCTAGACAGCCCCGCCCCTCTCTCAGGACCTTCTTCTCCGAGTCCAGGTGGAGGAAGTAGGATGGGTACATGCCACGGTCCATGCCCTTCTTGTCCCGGGTCAGCCGGCAGCGGACCACCCGGCCCTGGGGCGCTGGCTGCAGCACAAACTCCCGGGGTTCACCCACTTCCACAGGGGGCGATGGGGCCCTCTCCTCCTTCTGTACAGGCAGATGGTGCTTCAGCCAGGGCACCCCATTCCATAGGTCCCCTCTCTGCACCCCAGGCAGGCCAGGCCACCACTCACCACTTTCTGGAGGGAGAAGAGGGCTAGGGTTAGCATCTAGGCCTGAGAACTGAGACACACACACACACACACACACACACACACACACACACACACACACACGACAGCCCAGTCCCCATGATGGGAGGCTCTGGAATTCTATTTAGCTTGGGTCCAGACAGTCCCAGTTTGAGTTCAAGTTCCACCACCAAGGGTCTGTCAGCTGGATACAACTTTCTAATTTTCATTTTTGTTTTTAAAGACAGGGTCTCACAGAGCCCAGGCTGGCCTTGAACTCCTTCCTGATCCTCCTGCCTTCACCTCCCAAGTGCTGGGATAACGCTACCTACCAGGTCCGGTCCTGTTGTGGTAGTGACAGGCTTTGAAAAAGTTTTTTTTTTTTTTTGATATGTTTGAGTGTTTTGTCTGAATGTCTGTCTGTGGGCCTGGTGCCCTGGGAAGCCAGAAGAGGGTACAGTATCCTCTGTTAGGGATGGCTATGAGCCGCCATGTGGGTGCTGGGAACTGAACCCAGGTCCTCTGGCAGAGCGGCCACCTCTCCAGCCCCTAGTTTGTTTATTTGCAGTAGAGTTTCACTAGCCACCAACGCTAGCCTCAAACTCCCTGTGTAGCCCAGGCTGGCTCACCGCAGTCCCCCTTAGCCTCCTGGTATAGAGATGTGCACCACCCTGCCTAGCTCTCCAAATAACAACTCTTTGCTTTCGCTATTAACATACTGGGATAGCTGTCCTGTTGCCTAGAAACTGAGGTCCTGCCATGCCGACAGGAACCGTCTATAGGAGAGGAAGAGAGGCCCCCAACCAAGGACCGAACCACTTTAGAAGCAAACTGTCCATTCCTAGCCAGCCACTTTCAGGTGACTCCAGCCTGGCGGGATACCCGGAGCCCTCGAGGTTCTGGGAAGCTGTCCCCTAGACCTGTGACCCTTAGAAACTAAGTAGGCAAACTTGGAGGCCGCTCGTTACCCTGCAAGAGGTAGCTGACTCATGATCGCGTCAGCTCTCTCTGCTCTTAGAGAATTTCCTCATAACACCAGTCACAGGGGGAGGCAGGGTGCTACCTGGTGCCCTTTCTCCTGCTGCTCTGGGCTTCACGGGATGGGGGCTGGGTCCCTCGGGGGAGAGACGGAGCTGACAGGCTGAGGGCTGCAGGACCTGAGGCGGCAGAGCTATCTCTGAGCACTTTGCTGAGGGCCTTCTACAGGGCATGTGAGGTGAGGCCTGGGGCCTTCGGCCAAGGGCCAAATGACCATCTTGACCGTGCTCCAGCCTGCTCCAGAAGAAACTTTGGAAACACGAGACTATGTCTGGAATGTTAGGTGGGAAAAGTCATCGCTTATTCAAACGATTCTACACCTGTGACTATTTTTTTTTTTTGTCCGCTGACAGGATTTCTCCGTGTATCCCTGGCTGTCCTGGACTTAATTCGTAGACCGGGCCAGCCACGAACTCACAGAGATCCACCTGGGATTACAGGTGTGAGCCACCACGCCCTGTCACCTGTGGCTTTCATAAGCCTGCTGTGTGGGTGGCTATTTCTACCTAGGATAAAATACCCTAGCCATCCATGTCAGTGGCCTTGCTTAGTTCGAATCCATCCCTGAAGACCTGACACTCCTACACAAACTATGAAACCCACAAAGCTGGGACCAGGGCTGGCCCTTGTGTTGCTCTCCTGTGAGAGGGGCTGGTAATCCTGGCCGGGCCCCCTTGTGTGTGTACTCCAGTGTGTGGGCCCGAGTGGTCCTTCAAGGTACTTAGTAACGGGTCTTGACACTGGAAGACATCCAACCAGAATGGACTCTGGGCTTCGGGGAACATTCTGGAGCCTTTGGCAGCCAGAGATTAATTCATTATTGTATTTAAAGGTTTATTTTCCTTCATATGAGTGTTCTGCCTGCATGTACATCTGTGTATCTTGTGTATGCCTGGTGCCTTCAGAATCAGAAGAGGCCATCGGATGCCCTGGAACTGGAGTTATAAAGGTTGTGAAGTGCCATGTGGGTGCTGGGAATCAAATCTGGTTTCTCTGCAAAAGCACCCAATGCTCTTAGAGATGCTGAGCCATCTCTCTAGCCTTTGCATGTTTGTTTGGTTAGTTGGTTGGTTTTTCTTTTTCTTTTTCTTTTTTTTCAAAGATTTATTTATTATGTATACAGTGTTCTGCCTGCATGTACACCTACAGGCCAGAAGACGGCACCAGATCTCACTATAGATGGCTGTGAGCCACCATGTGGTTGCTGGGAATTGAACTCAGGACTTTTGGATGAACAGCCAGCCAGTGCGCCTAACTTCTGAGCCATCTCTCCAGCCTAGTTGGTTGGTTTTTCAAGATAGGGTTTCTCTGTGTAGCTCTGTCTGTCCTAGAACTCACTCTGCTGACCAGGCTGGCCTCGAACTCACAGAGCTCTATCTGCCTCCCAAGTGCTGGGATTAAAGGCGTGTGCTACTACTGGCCAGCTTTCCTTCTTTTTTTTCCTATCTTATTTTTTGAGACAGGGTCTCATGGAGGCCAGGCTGTCTCAACCTCACTATGTAGCTGAGGTTAGCTCTGACCCTGCTGTCTTCACTTCCCACGTGCTAGGCGTACATACACGTGGCACTAGGGCTATTTCGTGGCTGGGAGCCTAGAGGTCCTGAGAGGTGAACTCAGAGTCTCGGAGTGGAGCATTTTAACAATTGGCCCAGCTAGCCAACTCCCAGGCACTCAGTGTTCCCAGGTGTATAAAGCGTGCCTCACGGAAGCCAGGCAGAGACTCAGGCCTGTCATCCCAGTACCAGCAGGGGCTAAGGCACATCTAGAATTCCAAGCTAGCCTGGACTACATAGCAAGACCTTATCCCCATACACACACACACCACCACTGCCCTGCTGCTGTGTGCTCAGCCTCCCTGATACTTTGACACTTGGCGTCTCAGTGGGGGCTGTGTGATGGTTGCCTTGCATACGGGAGGCCAGGACAGCAAGGCCCATGGGTCCTGGCTGCCCTCAACCACGCCTCTTCCGTCCCCATGAACCTGATGTTCCCAGGCCTTGTGCCCAGCCCCCACCCCAAAGCCCCCCACGCCTGCCCCTCAGGTGACAACCTTTTTGACTTTCCCTTTTGCTCTGCCCTTCTGGTTGCTGTTCTTCATCTCAGCAGCCGCCTCCTCCTCTTCCTCTTCCTCCTCCTCTTCCTCCTTCTTCTTCTTTTCCTCTTTGGGGGGCCCTGAGCATGGAGGAGGACAGGCTGTAGAACCCTCACCCCGACTGGCCAAATTTTCTCTTTAATCCTCTCCACAGCAATGAAAAGGTCAACGCACGTTCTAGCCAAAGCCTCAGGTTCAAGCATGTCAAGGTACCCCCTCCCCCAGTGGCCCAGCTCTCACCCACACTGCTCCCATGGCACTGCACACACACACACACACACACACACACACACACACTATTCATGCTCGGCACCCTTTGGCCCACCCACCTTTCTTCTTCACACCCTTCTCAGGCGGGCCCCCTTCCCCGACCAGGAACATGGTGGCTGGAATCTTTTTCCTCACGGCTGCGGCTGCTGGGCTCCCCGAGGGGTCCTTGTCAGTCTCCCCAGCCCCTGCAGAAAGGACAGGAGACGGAGTCCCCCACAGCAGCACACCCGGGACCCCTGTCCCACCGTCCAGCTTACCTTTCTTCTTTGCCTTTCTCAGCTTGGTCCCCTCCCCCGCCTTCTTCTTGGTTTGGAGTGGTTTCCGAGGGACAGCAGGGCTTCCTAGGTCCCCTGGGCACAGGGGATTTGGGGGTCAGAGAGGGAAGAAACCTGTTGGGACTGAGAGCCACCTTCAACCCCTCATCCAGCTTCAGGTTCCCAGGCTGAAGGCCAGACAGGGAACTCTGTGGTCTGTCAGTCTTGAGTTAAAGGGAACCAGTGAGCCAGCGACCCAGTGCTAGGCCTCTGATCCCTCCAGGGCCCCTCGCCAACCCCTGCTCTTAGCCTCTGCGCCCCTACAGGGACCAGGTCCCAGCAGCCCACGTGTTCCTAACCAGACCTTCCCGGGCAGGCACCCAGGTGGGGAGCCATCAAGCCATCGCTGCCGTTAGCCAAAGATCTCTTTTTTCCTTTCATATCCTTTATATAAAAATTAGAACGCAAAGCCAGATAGAGTTGAAAGCAAAACCCCACGGGGGAAACCGACTTCTCCTCCCTGCTCCCCCTCTGCAGTATGTGGCAGCCGTGACCGAGCTCCTTGGGGACCAGGGACCAACCATCGGTGGACAGAAGGGTCAGAGGAGGCCTGGCCTCTGCAGAAGCCTAAGGAGCTTTGAGGATTCTGCCTGCCCACTGCTCTCTGCACCTACCCTTTGGGCCCAGGGCCTTGGTTTTGCGCTCTCTCTCCTTGGGTGGTTTCTTGGGGGCCAGAGAGCTTTTCTCTTTTTTCCCCTCTTCCTCCTCCTCCTCATCGTCATCTGAATCCTCCGAATCCTCTTCCTCTGTGGATAGAATACTCCGGTAACATAGGCCCCAGCGGTGTAGTCTGTGCAGGGTGCCGCCAGGCGGGCTTCCAATGCCTTCCTGAAGTGGGCTGCGGTGGGGGGCGCCCTGCTCTGTCCCTCTGTCCCCCTCCCTCCTGACCCGTCCACCCACATGCTCCAGTCTGCCTTCCCACGGTCCCCACTCGCCTCCCCCTGTCCCTGTGCAGCTGCAGCTGCTTCTGACCCATCCTGGGTACTTCTGGCTACTATCTGCACAGAAAGGCAAAAGCTTGGACCCCTGTGGCCTCAGTCTCCCCACCTCTGGGCTCTGTGCTCCAGGTGGCAACACCTGCTTGCCCGGCTCTGGGCTCTGCCCCTCGCCCCCTCCCCTCACTCACCGCCTCCCACATCCGGGGCACGGGCAACCAGGAAGGTCTGCCGGGGGTCCGGCTTCTTGGCCTCGGGGTCCCGAAGGAACTTGTCGTAGACCGTGGGCGCGGCGGGCTCGGCGGGGTCCGCGGGCGGCTCGGCGTGCTTCCTGCGCCCGCCTGAGGACAGACCTCCCGCTCAGCGGGGTCCTGGCCCGGAGCTCCCCACCTCAGCCCTCCCCCCCCCCAGGTGCCCGCATCCTCCCACACCCCCCCCGGACTCACCCCCAGTTTTGCGGGGCTTGGAGCCAGGGGACTCGGGGGTCTCGGACTTCTTCTTCCTCAACTTCTGCCCCTGGGCGGGTCGCTGTGGAGGGGGGGGGGGTGTCATGGGGACAGAAGGGGACTCCGGAGCTCCCATCCCCCTCTAATCCCTTGGAGCAGACGGAAATAGCCTCGGATTAACCCAGGGGTGGATGAAGGCCCTTCCATGCCTGGTGGTCACTTCCAAGGCCCAAAGATCCCCCCCAGTCTTCCTGGGCACCCCTCATCCTAAACCCCCTTTCTTCATCTAAACTCTCAGGCAGGGAGCTGCCGCTGCCGGGCAGCCTGGGCCCCTGGCCAGCACACCGTGGGGGACCTTTGTACCTCCTTTCCAGTCCCCAAGCCTGGCGACACACCTGTTTGGGGCGCAGCGGGGGCTCTGGGCTCAGCCACTCTTCTTCAGGGCCACTGAGGGTACAGAGGAACCAGGCTCGGCCTTCTCGCCTTCTCACTCCGACCCGCCCCCTCCCACCCCCGACCCTGAGACTGGGGTTCGGGTGAGGCGAGGCCACGAGGGGGCTCCCACCTGTCCGAAGCCCACACCTCCCGCAGGGCCTCCTCCTGCAGCGGCATGCTGGTTCTGTGTCACCGGCAGCGTCTCCAGCGCCTTGCGGCTCCCCGGCCTCCCCTCCTCGCCAGCTAATCTCAGCTCAGCTTCTCCCGACCTCTAAGACCCAGCCACCGCGGGGAGGACTGGACCCCCGGCCCTCCTCAGCACGGCAGCCTGAAGCTCAGGCACATGCCCGTGGAACAAGTCAGCGGTCGGCCGGGGTTCTGGAGAGTAAAAGGCTGGGCTGGCTCTCCGGGTTGCCCCCCCCCACCTCCCCAGGGTCTCATCATGTAGCCAGGCCTTCCCTGGGTAGGCTGGCCTGGAAGCCATCCTTCTCCAGTCTCCTGAGTTCCATGTATCTACTGTGTGCGTGGGCGGCACGTGCTACCGTTCATGTGTGGAGAGGTCTGGTGACAATTTGTTAAAATCAGTTCTTCCCTTCCACCGTGTGGCATCAAGTGCCCTTTTGATGATGATGATGATGATGATTTTGCCATGGTTTCTCTTGTATGGAACCCTGGCTGACCCAGAACTTGCTGTGTAGACCGGGCTAGCCTTGGATTAATTCCCAGAGCTCTGCCTGCCTTTGCCTCGGGAGAGTAGGCTTACAGGCCTGCCCTGCCCTCTGAGCCTGAGAGGTGCTCTTAAAAGTCTGGGGCCTTTATCCGCATAGGAAGGGCTTTGGAGCGGAGAGGTCTAGTTAAGGTTCTCCAAAGCTTCCGTATCCAAAAACAATAGAAGAGGGTTAAAGATTGGGAAGGTGACCAGCCAGACACAGGCGGGGGGGGGGGGGGGCCGCTGGGGGGGCAGCCCTCCTGAACTTCCTACTGAAGAGCCGACATCTTTGGGAGACTCCCTCGGCCTCCCCGGGCCATCCCCTCACTCAGAAAGTGGGTTTGCCAGCCTGTGTTGGGTTTTCCACATCGTGTTGGAATCCTGGATTAAATGAGGTGATGTGTGTCCTTCCTTCTCCAGGGCCCGCTGCCTCTCCCACTGCACAAGCCACAGGCCTTGATCAGGCTTCGATTTCGCAGAACCTTCTTGTTTCACCTGAGGTCACAGGAGTCCGGGAGAACGTGGGCCAGGTGGAGGAACTGAGTGACTTGCTTTGCTTGGCGTCAGTTAGAAAGAAGCTGCTGAATTGGGCCCAAATCCAGACCTTTCTCTTGCGTCTTCGTTATTTAGTTTCTTAGATAGAATGCCATTTAGCACAGACTAACCTCAAGCTCACTATGTAACTGAACTTCGGATCCTCCTGCCTCCATTTTCCAAGTCCTAGGATTACAGGTGTGTACCATTATGCATTCATTCATTCATTCATTCATTCATTCATTCATTCATAGTAAGACTCTGGTCTTAGTATGTAGGTCTGGCTAGCCAGAAACTGACAGTGTAGATTGGGCTGGCCCTGAACTCACAGAGATCGGCCTGCCTCCGCCTCCTGAGTGCTGAGACTAAAGGTGTGTGCCGAGGCCAGGCTACTATTTTTAATTATGTAATATTTTCGTGTCTGTGTGTGGGTGTGTGCACATGAGTGCAAAGCCTGGGCACCCCACAAGAGCTGGGGCGAGAGGCATGCGGGAGCTGCCCAGTGTGGGTGCTGGCATCAACGTGAGTCCCTGCAAAAGGAGTTTGTGTCTGGAACCACTGAGCCATCTCTCCTGGCCACATTTTTTTTTAAAAAAGATTTATTTATTTATTATTTATACAGTATTCTGCCTGCATGTGTGGCTGCAGGCCAGAAGAGGGCACCAGATCTCATTATAGATGGCCGTGAGCCACCATGTGGTCGCTGGGAACTGAACTCAGGACTTTTGGAAGAGCAGCCAGTGCTCTTAACCTCTGAGCCATCTCTCCAGCCCCATCCTGTCCACATTTTAATGATATTCATTATAAGCTGATTTTACTTTTAGGTTTTTGTTTTCTTGAGACAGAATCTGTGTAGCCCTGGCTGTGCAGGAACTCACTCTGTAGACCAGGCTGGCCTCGAACTCAGAGATCTCCCTGTCTCTGCCTCCCAATTGCTGGGATTAAAGGAGTGCGCCACTGCACCAGACTTCAAAATATCTTAATAAAAATAAATCTTAGGGGCTGGAGAGGTGGCTCAGCGGTTAAGAGCACTGGCTGCTCTCCCAGAGGTCCTGAGTTCAGTTCCCAGCAACCACATGGTGGCTCAGAACCATCTATACTGGGATCTGATGCCCTCTTCCGGCGTGCAGGTGTGCACACAGATAGAGCACTCATACATAAAATAAAAATATAAATCCTTAAAACAAAACAGAAACCAAGGGCTGGCAAGATGTCTCGGTGGGTGAGAGCACTTGCTGCTGAGTGTGAAGCCATGGCCAACTCTGGCAAGCTGTGCTCTGACCTCCGTATCTGCACCAAGGTGCTCACCACACACATGCAGAGAAACACACGCACATACGTGTGTGTGTGTGTGTGTGTGTGTGTGTGCACGTTCACACACAGAGATACACACAGGCGATAGTCAAAACTTTAAAAATAGAAATTAAGCTGAGTCGTCTTGAGTAGAAGGTACTGAAGTTTTAATTCCCTAGGGCCGGTGCAGGCGGGGGCTGCTGGCGAGGCAGAAGATGGGGGTGGGGTGGGCGGGACAGGACATGGGGTGACAATGGTGATGACAAGGACAGAGACGGGGCGGGGACACAGCACTTGAGAACGGGCATGGGAGGGAACTCAGGTTCGGGACAGGGGTGATTTTAGGATTTTATATGTCCAGTGCAGGCCGAGAGGCAGGTCTGGGACACAGAAACGCGCCAGGTGCTGTGGTCCATCTGCCTCCTGGACAGCAGGACAAACAGGCCCGGGCTCTATAATTACGTGTTGTTTTGAACTCAAAGGGACATTTCCCAACTGGATCCCTGGCCTTAGCCACCAGACACAATTCCAGTTGAACTTAGCTGCTTCCTGAAGTCAGCTTTCAGAAGACAAAGATTGCCTGGTGCCCCAGGCTTCGTCCTAGTCACACATTCTTACATCTCAGAGAGGTGAAGTTACGTGCCTGATGCTGGCCGGGCCTGCTGGTGCACGCCTGTAATCCCAGCGCTCTGAAAGGCAGAGGCAGAGACAGAGACAGGAGGATCTCTGTGAGTTCGAGGCCAGCCTGAGGACAGCCAGGGCTACACAGAGAAACCCCGTCTGGAAAAAAACAAAACAGAACAAAAAATAGTCATGTGCCTAAAGCACTCAGCTTGCTCTCACTGGACGCAGACCATCAGCGAAAACCCTATGAAGTGCCTGGTGTTTTATTTCCACAGTATCATCTTAGAAAACAATGCTCATTGTGTGTGGGGGGGGTGCTTTATCCTCACTCACGTCCGTGCACCATCTGCCTTCTGGGGGTGGGGGGGAGAGGACATCAGATCACCTGGAACTGGAAGTCAGAGATGGTCGTGTACTGCCAGGTGGGAGCTGGGAACCGAACCCTGTCCTTTGCAAGAGAGGTGGGTGGCGCTCTTCGGTGCTGAACCGTCTCTCCAGCCCGTTCCATGTATTTTCTTGTTAATCCTACTCCCCAGCTTTGACAGGCCGGTAGACATGTGCCCTTGCCCCTCCGTGGCTACTGTGCCTGGCACTGGAGACCCCTGGGCTCGCTGGCTCTGCTGAGGGAGCCGGAGGGACCATGGAGGAGCCCGAAGGCTAGAGTTAACAGACTGCATTGCGTCCTGCCACGCACATCCCAGCCTGGTGGCCAAGGACAGCTTCCTCCTTGGGGCAGCTTCTCCATCTATGAGATTTATTTGCCAATTGAAAGGGTCACTTTCTCCTGTTGGGCACAGACCCCCCCAGGAGCAGCCTCGGGAGCACTGCACCTACTGGGCAGAGCAAGAGCCGGAGCACCTGCCTCTGTGCTCCCCACAGGGGCATCTTTGTGGCGCTTGTCCCCGAAAGCAGTGGGAATGCCACGGTGGCCTGAGAGACCCTGGGCCTGCGCTAACAGGGCTCAGGTCACTGTCTGCCTCTCCCTGGTCAGCAGGAAGGGATTGGGGCCCAGGGCAGGCTCTCCGGGTCCAGCCCAGCGGTGGCCCACAGCCGCACAGCCCGCTGGAAGGACTCCTGAGAGGCAGCGGAGACCGTGGGACCTAGGCCCTGCATTTGCCGGGCAGAGAGGGCTGTGAGGTGTCCAGGAGGGGCAGGGCTTCTCACTTTTGCACTTCTAGAGAGTTCGTTGAGCGCTTGCCTAGCACATCCCCAAAGCCTGTCCTGTGGCACACGCCTTCCAGCCCGGCTGTGCCACCTCCCCACAGCACCAGCAACCGGGGACCAAGTGTTCAAAGAGCTGAGTCTCCCATTTAACTAACTCAGATACTGAGTGGCATTTAGAAGTAAACTGACAGCTGTAAGCAAGCCCAGAACTTCCAGGGTTTCCAGAAGTGGACCTCTGGCACAAACGCGCCCTTTAGGGGTTCCCTTGCCAGTGTTACGTGCCTGTAATTCCAGCACTCAGCAGCTGGAGGCAGGAGGATCAGGAGAATAGGGACATCCTTGGCTACATAGAGTTTGAGGCCAGCCTGGGCTACCTAAGACCTTGACCTTGAAAAAAATCAGCGAAGACAAAGTTTGTGACTTCATATGGTGTCAGACAAAGACGGGTCCGTCCTATCCCTCAGCCCTTGTCTCTGTTCAGCCTGCCGCTGTGGGTCTGTGATCCGAACTGGGCCAGGTAACTTACAAGATTCCTGTTTGTTTTTCCTTCTTACTTGAAAACAGTTTCAACCCGACATATGAGAACTTGTGCAGCAAGCCAGCGCCATGGCACGACCTTTAACCCCAGCACTTGGGAGGCAGAGGCTGGCAGAGCTCTGAGTCTGAGGCCAGCCTGGTGTGCAGAGTGAGCTCCAGGACAGCCAGGGGCTACACCTTGAGACTCCACCCCCCCACCCCCCACCGAGCGGAGAAAAAGACCCTCTGCAAACAGGGGAGACTCAGAAAGCCAACAAATCCTGTCTCTTCCGGAGGGCTGGGGTTTTAAGGCCTCTGAAGAGTTTTCCTAACTTAG